GAAGTTGCTGAGCCGAGTCTCGACCAAAAGGGTTTCTTGGCACTTCTCTACATCGGGCTCTGGAGAAACTTGTAGGGATTCCTGTGTCGCATGCTTTCCATCGACCGCTGTGTCCTGCACATCATCATTGCCCATATTTCCATGACATGGCGTCGGCGCCTGGGTCTATAATCATCTAGGAACCCAGAGCAAGCAGCTGCTGCTGAAGTTGCACATCGGTGAACATTGACCCGAATCTCATCCACATATAGCCCGGGGGCCGTCTCTACGTAGGGCTCCAAGAAAATTTGTGATTTCTCATCGGCCACCTTGTCCTCAATCGCACCAGAATCACAATCAGACTTACATGATGTTGTAGACCCAGTCACCCAAACCAGATCAACTCGAATGTTGGCATAGTTTAAGTCGCAGCCAGGTGTCATCCACTCGGCTTTGCTTGCCCCCGTGGTCATAGGGATGCACACTGAGGGCCTTTGTATGCATGAGGGTATTTAGTGTTGTTGGTTTATTTTACGTACAGAACATCATCGAGTTATACCCAGTACTCAGCACACTTCGGGCCTGATCATCATCATTGCCATCGGTAGACGACTCGCGGGTTTTCTCAGCATGTAGCATCGATGCCTTAGCTACATCTCATGAACGAAAACGAAGCGCTTCCTGATGTAAGTTGCAAGGGTGACCCCCCATGTCCAAGGTGAACTTACAGTTAGTGGTTGATTGTATTTTACCGTGAATAAGTTCAAGCCGAAGCTGAGCCGATGTTAAGGTTGACGACTTTAAGATCCCCCCAACAAGAGCAGGATTCAGCAGTGCTGGCACATTCATTGGACCGAGCCTTGGCAACATTAGCCCAGGGAATGATAATTTCAGCTTCTGAATAGAACATTGCTTGACAAATTGAGCATACTGCATTGGGAGCGAGAGGATCAAAGGTCACATTTTGCCGGACGCACACACACACACACAGACATCCACATGCTGTGCCGGGCAGACCATGAATCACCCTCAGAGATAGATGCAAACATGCATACACACTAAACCACATTTCCACATGCATGGGCGCACATATACATGCATACATCTTCGCTGCTTGAAACTAGGATCGTCTAAGAATAGCAAGGATCCGAAAACACCGTGCCGCGAAACTAGCTTCAAAACACAGGACCATCCACCATATAGGTTCCAGTCTGTCAAATCAAGAGTACCCGAAGCCTTGACCTTATAAGTACCCTATCGGCGCAAGCTCCGAACACTCACAGCCCAATCAGTGTATCGCCGAGATGCATCTACAGTGATCTACAGATGATTGCAGCTGTATGGAAGGCACGTCGGGTGGGTCATGTTGGCTTCGGGACTTTATGTGGGCCTGTGTGCGCCTGCGTCTGCACACTCGTACCACTTCAACTTTCCCAAGACGATGTAGCACAGTCAAATTGGATAAGTGCGATCAAGATGCAGGCTCCGCGCCCTGGTCGCCGCAGACTTCGTTGCCGACGGCCGTCATATCCTTCGCCGATTCCTGGAAAGCTGCATCATTGGGATCTTGGCTCGGGTCGGGCACCGACTCTGCCCGTATAGTTTTGGGCCTTCTCCTGCTTAGTGCAGAGATACTACAATACAGCCCTAAACCCGACACCCTAAATGCCCTCAAGCTTCTTTCCTACATAGTACTGGATTAGAATCGGTAATTTAATTCGAAACATTTGCTAAATTCTGAGAAGTCTAAACATCGAGCCCCGACCTGAACCCTGCAACCGGACCCAAGCTAGATTGTATCGGTCTGCCAAGCTGGAGCCTTGAAGGTTGAAGATTTGAAGCCTAACTAGGTATCCTCTAATTTAAATGGGTTGAGGGAGCAGGGAGCAGGGACCGTGAAGACAGTTAGAGGTTCAGGGGCTTGTTGCTAGTTGCTTCGGCTTTTCGAGGCCTCTGCTTTCATGGACCGAGTAGATGTAGAATCATCATTGGTTCAATATATATTTATATATATATATGTATTGAACCAATGATGATTCTACATCTACTCGGTCCATGAGTTTAAATCAAGCTTTCGGATTTCGAAGGTTCTGTTCGATCACATGCATGTATACCACAAGGGTCCAAGTACCCAATAATCATATACTCACCGAAATCCTAACCTACATAACTACTATCCTAAAACCGAGTACCTGATTATTGGGTCCTTTGGACCCTTGGGGTATATATATATGTACATGCAAACACATGCATACGCATGCATACATGCATAGTGTGAATATATATATATATATATATATATATACATAAATATATATATATATATATATATATATACATATGTGTGTGTATACATGTGTGAACACATAGAGACATACCTCTACATCTTTGCCCGGTTTTGTGGTTTGCACCCTGTGTTTCGAAAAACCTGTATGCATGGAAGCCTTAGTACAGTAACCTGCAATACCCTGCTAGAACTCTACAAAGCCCTGGAAACTGTGGTGTGGGGGGGCCCCACACACGCCGAACTGCTTAATACCATGAGATACACTTTCACAAATAGTCCGGGATTCTGGCGATTTGGGTGTACGGTAGGGATTAGGGCTTCTCAGGGTCAGGGTTTAAAAACAACAGAAGTTGGGGGTGCAGGTTGTCGGGGTTAAGGCTTCTCAAAGATTCAGAGATTCACTGGTTTAAAAAGGTTAGACAGAAGTTGGGATGGGTTCTTTAAGGTTGGGGCCCGATGGGGCTGTGTTGAGCAGGTTGCATACAGGAGGACAGAGCCCAGAGGGTGTAACATTCCCGCCCTATATTATTCGGCCTGCGATTTTGGAGCAGTCCTGAAGGCTAATACCCCTGACACAAGTGCTCGGCGCACACCTGATTACAATATCACAGTCGCACTAAACCTTTAAAACGAAATGTCGTGACGGCATTGAAGACCGTTATCCGATGTCACTGTCTCGAAACCGAGAATACCAAAAAATACTACTGCTGCGGAGCCCTGCTTGAATTGTATTGTGTACTTTAAGCAAAAACCCCACAGCCAAGGCAAGCTGCTGACAAGTGATCCTGCGCGGAGGACACAGATTCATCCTGATCCAGCTCAAAGTGTCGACATTGTGGGGCTAGTAGAACTCGGGTTTAAGGCAGGCGAAGGCTCCAAGGCCTTTCAGGTTCAAGCGTCTTGACTGGAGGCGGTGGGCCTTGGGCTCTACAATTTAGATCTCTTGCAGCTAAGGTTCTTCATCATCGTAGCTTTCGCTTCCCGATGAGAACCGTAGATCAATCTGAGAGTTCCCCGAAAACATCGTCTCGGCATCCTGCGATCAACATCGTGTGAAGACAACAAGTTGGCCAGAGACACCAAAGCAACAGCAAACTCGTACTATGCAGGAACAGGGTCCTGCATCAAGCTTGCCAGAGCACCGAGATCGTTCTCGTCGCCCATGGCCTTCTTGCGCCCGCCTTTCCTCGAGCTCGGTTTTTTTTTCTTCTCTGTCTTCTTTTTCTTCTTCTCCTTCCCACTTGCCTTTCGGCCGGTATCCTTCTTCGATGCTTTGGCCTTCGTCCGCGGCTTCTTCCTGCGGACCTGCAGCATAAGGAGATCCGAGGAGAGGAGAGGAGAGGAGAGAGAGTGAGAGGAGAGAGAGTGAGATATGGTCATGCACACGAGCCTGCCTCCCCACTATCTTCCTCATCATCATCATCATCATCATGTTTCTTATGTTTCTTTACTTTGCGGTCGGGCGCGTCGCTGCTGGAGCTCTTCTTTTTCTTGCGGCTGGGCCTTTTCTTTGGGATATTTGCCTCATCCTCGTCCTCGTCAAAGTCGTCTTCTTCGAACTCCTCCGGTTCCTCTTCACCCTGCTCTTGTCCATCAAGACTGTTGCCCTCCTTCACCTCAAAACGAGGCAGCTTCTTGAGGCCGGTCGCTCTACTTGGCTCCTGGTCCTCCTTCTTGGTTTTCTTTTCGGCTTGCTTGGCGGCGACGTTGAGGGTATGTAGATCGTTCTCGTAGTCATCCGTGCGGAAGGCCGGCACGGTGAAGGATGGTGAACTTTCCGTGCTCTGGGAATCCACCTTGATTGTTGAGGAGTTCTTCCTACATAGGGTCTGTGCTGGATTTATCGAAATAATTTTAGACCATAGCAGCCTAGTCACGTGGTGAAATCCCGCCATGGTTGGCCACAGCCCACCACGACAAAAGTGGTTGCACTCAAGCCCAAAAATCCTGTGAGGTCGACAAGTAGACGCACTGAAACCCAAACATCCTGTGACATCTTAGTAAGCTGATTGCAGGACCGGCTGCACTTCACTCGCGCGGCTACTGCACTTCACTGCCGACACAGCTGCTGCTTGCTGCCTGGCACCTGAACCTCATTCATAAGTGAAGTCGTTCAGGGATTTTGCGACGACCAGCATTGAAGGATGGTCAGGGGTTAGCAGACTGTCACAGTACATTGTGGTCCGCATGCGATGGCCCCTCGAGTGAGAGAAATCGCCCCGGCAAGCCCAGCTGCCCGGTCCAAACACATGTATCCTATAGTCGGTTCTAAGTTCTGAGTTCTAAGAAACGGCTCTCTATAGTCTCAACGGGGCAGTTCGTAACAAAGGACAGTAGCAGAATCGATGCGTGTGTTTGTGTGCAGTTTAGACAGGACAACCAGGCCCAGACCGAGGATCCTAGACTTCCTATAAGAGCAGCCTATGTCAGGAGACCGGTGCCCTTCAGCAAAATGCTGTGACTCAACACCTTCTAAGGTGCTCCATCAGGTGTCTGCGCTGCTGCTGGTGGCAACAGACGTGCTTACGTGCTTGGCAGCCTTATTTAGTCATGGAGGGCCGGGAAGAATGTAGCTGTAGTTTGCAGGACCTATAAGGTCTAACACAGGACGCCCCCAAAAGCTAGTAGTTGTTCATCAGATCAGTACCAGACATTCATGTACACCAGCGACACAGGCACACGCCTGATAGATTCCCCGAGTCACACATGACCCAAAGACGAAGAGCGTTTCAGCTCAGAAAAGTCGGAGCACACCCGGTGTGACTTGCACCTCTTGGCCATGGAGTAGCACAGGCCTCACAGGCGAGAGAACTCGATGATGAGTGAGCCTGAAGGGCTCGGAATCAGTGTTGTTTTGCAAACACATGCAGACAGATTCCAGCAGATTTAGGTATTCATTGCACGGTCTCAGTTAGCTATCACCTCGAGGGCAGATGTAGACCGGCCTCATACGCCATGTCACGTGGAATGGAGGGCGGAGAGCACGGATTTTGGCGGCATCCATGTATGCACCGAAGGTGAGCGGGCGGGCCTCGAAACCACATCGGGCAAACAACTACACACGAACACCTGCTTGGCAAACCTCCCAGACAGAGAGAGAGAGAGAGAGAGAGAGAGAGAGAGAGAGAGAGAGAGAGAGAGAGAAGCATAGGGAGGGACACAAACTCTGCACCGGAACATCGCAATAAACTGCAGGCCTTGGAAATCTTGCGCTTCTTCGCACCGCTTTTGAGTGAATCCATGACGAAAACAATCTTATCGTCACACTTCAGCTCGTCGCCGTCCCCTTTCTTCGTGTGGCCCATGATGGTCACGAGCTCACCTGCATCTTCCAGGGCCACCAGGAAGTCTTTCATAGTCATGACCTCAGCAGACACATATAAAAATCCTCGATGTTTAACTTAGATTCCGATATGAATACAATGGATGAAGGACGGACTAAACCACACTGTGACTTCAATGCGCTGACATGTTGTGTTGACTTGCTAACCGCATTGACTGAGTGTTGTGACCTTGTTCCAAATCGCCAGGGATTTTACCTCCTCCGGCAACTTGCGGTCACACTCCACTATGACCAGCAGGTCCTTCATGGAGCCGGCTAGGGAGTACCGGAACCACCTTCCGCTCGGATCTGAAAGAACGTCGTTTGCCGTTGCACCGTCGGCAAAGTCTCCAGACCCGAACCCAAAGAATTCCATGTTCGACGGAACATTTGTAATCCTGTCGCTGTGGATCCAGAGGCTCGCATCATCCACATCATACAGCATACAGAAGTCTTGAAAGACACACTCCATCAGCCTCCGATTCCAGGCAGCCCCATTGCTATGAACACAGCAACAGCAAGACAAACATATTAGACAAGACACGTGCTGCGATTGGCATGGAAGCTCGCCACATCATCGTAGGACTTCACCAACTTCTTGGGGCTCCTGCCTTGGTGCTTGGCCTCATTATCCCCAGGCGCAGGCCCACTGGCCGTCTTGTGTTCTCGGTTGAAGTCGCGGTCGTGCTTCTCCAGGAGAGCACGGAAGTCATCGGACACCACCTCGGATGCCTCGAATTTGCTCTTCAGCGCCTCGCCACAGCACTAACAGCTGCCAGCCACACCTCACCTGAAACCCCAAACCTCCGGGCACCTGGAGGACGATCAGGCATTCACCCACCGGCACAGTCACCTGGTAATCGTAATCCGACCGGGCTTCGCTCGTGTGCACCTTCGAAAGATCCGACATGGCGGCGGCAAAGTCGGGAAATCCATTGATAACCATCTGCTTCGCCTTCGCCTTGCTGAACAAGGAGTGCAGAATCACATCCTGAAGTCAAAGCCACAGAATGAAACAAGGGTGGACTTTAGGGCTTGAGCGTGCCATGACTGTTTAAACTTCAGAATTCCTTGCAGAACTTGTGCTCCACGTCGGTGTGTGCGACCATGGCACAAACACACTTTGCATTCTCCATTTGCAGCTGCAGGGCTGCAAGTGCAACCCATCCGTCGTGGCCGAAGAGGTCCACAATCACCGTGTGCGATTTGGTGATTTCCAATGCATGCAGCACCCGCTTCATGAACCCGGTCCCGGCAAGGTGCTGTCTCATCTCCTGCCAGGCCAAGCAAACAAACATGTTTCTTGATTTAAGTGCTAAGAGCCATTGAAACTCAACACGAAGAGTGTCCTGGGCCGCTGACAGCCGATCCGTATCCGCACAAACTTTGCGACCGACCTCAACTTTCACCATCTCCTCAGTCATACACTCGTTCGCACATCAAGCTTCTTGTGGTGTATCATGGGAACTAAATTTGAAAGCTTACAGTATCCCAGAAAAATCAAAATCTGGTTAAGGACAATTAGTGTTGGTATTCAACATCCTTATACACTACTAAACTTGAGGCCATGAATCATTGGGTTTCCAATGGGGTTTCCAACTTTTCATCTTCAACTGTAACTCTAACATTTGGCTCATAAACACAGATTATACTACCCTCCAAAACGTGAAAGGAAGCAGACCAAGCCACCCCGCGAGGCAACATCGGAACCTTGTCGATCACAAGCCTTTTGAAAAGGGTCTTCCGGGTCAAGCTGGTGGCCTGTGTGCTGGTGATGAGCCAGGCTTCATGGAAGGCGGTTCGCAACCCGTAGACCGTTGCATCATCAAATATGACGGTGAGCCCCCGGACCTCCAGTCCCCTTGCCGGCTCTTGAAGTGTGACTAGGAGATTGTGTTTAAAATCTCTCAGCGCCAACGATGCCTCCGCCTTGGATAGCTTCCCACCCTCATTCTCGGCATCGTTGCCATCGTCCTCGCCCACGTCTTTGTTCATCTCGTCCTCCTCCTGCTCCTGCTGCTCTTTCCTTGGATTGTTCGGCTGATGCAGCAAGACCGTCCTCCTTATAATAAGTGCCCTCCTCACGGATGCGGGAAATACATGAAGATGCCAATGAAACGGCTGAACCTCTCTGGAGTTTGCATGCCTCCACTTAGCAGAAGACGACGAGAGCAAGGCTCGACACGAACTGAAAAGATCCCATGTATGCACAGCTTCGTGTGAAAAAAGTGCCCTCCCATCCACCCCCTTCCCCAGTCATTCTGAACCTTCGTCCCTGTTTGTTCCCATTCCTCAAAGCTAAATTCCTCCGAAAGGTTCGACAACGAATGGCACCGGGAAGCAGGTATTAGTCGTCGTGAGTTCAGTCCATTCATATCGGTTCGTGTTCATCTTAAAGACCAGTTCTCTTGCAATACAAACACAGCTACCTATGTAGACCCTTCATAGTTACATTGGGAGGGAAAGCAGCTCTCGCTTTAATTAAGTGTTCTTTATTTTAGAATGTTTTTGGTTACGAGAACCACACCTCAGTCGGATTGGGATATTATTCATCTTACATTATTGTTCAATCATTGAGTCATTGCTACCTAGGCACGTTTTCACTCGTCCATCACACGCCCGGTTGGGCATGAAGACAACACCCACAAAGGAGTTCGGCATATTGGCAGCACCACTCTGCAAGGACTGAACCAGGAAGCTCACCTTCGGTGCACTGACGACACCTTGGGTAACCAGGTTAGCCACATACACCACGAGCTCACTGCCTCCATTTCGCACACCACCTTGCAAGCCAGTCAAGGACGAGGCAAGCCAGGGCTGGAGCTGGGGATCCAAAGGCTTCACCTCGTAGTCGCGCTCAACCCCAGTCCTTTTTTTCGGCATGAGATTGAACACCGGAAAGTTTTCCTCCCCGTAGCTGCGGATCTGCATCCACCCGGTCTTATGCAGCGTCTGCAGGGCAGACATGGACAGAATCGGATAGAAACGAAACTCACGGCTGGCCACTGCTACTATCTTAGGTCAACAGTCAGCAATCCTCCAGAAGCGACACAGCAGCTTGCCGCTTGCGCTCCGCATCACCGGACGTTCTCAGAATCTCCCTTAAGGCATTTGTTAAAAGATTGTCATTGCCATATCCAGCAGCAAGAGGAACCAACTGCAGCATGACACACTGAAGTACACGCATGTATGTGCATCCAAGACTCGACCGGAAGTGGGCCTGATCATTCTGCAGCTGCCTCTGGAACAACTCGAAGGCGCTTCGCTCGGCCTGCTTCAGGGCGTTCTGGATCCTGCTCTGTCCTTGCTCAAGGTAGAGCTGCTGAGCAGATCCTTGCGCTTCCAGGACGAATCCCAGCCGATCTGCTTCAAACCGCGCGTCCTTCGCTTTCACGACTCCCCTGAGTTCAGCATCCAAAGCCCTTGGATGGGCCAGCAATGTCGTTTGAAACTGGCATGCAGGAAACAACTCATTGCACCAGACATGACAAGACACACTAGGCGGTTGATGGGGATGCTGTTGGAGGATGGGAAGCTGACTGCAAAGTCTGGACATTGCCATGCACAAAAGATTCAAAGGTCAGTCTAATAACAATTTAGTTGCCAGGCAGCAATAAGACTTCAATCCGTTTGGTGATGTTTTCTTGCTTAAAGACTAGAGGTCTGAGGATGTCAAACATCAAGATATACTTTCTCTTCTTAGCTGTGCATCTGACACAGACACACACACATACATATATATATATATATATACATATATATATATATACACTTTCAAGGTACAATATGTTCTTGTATGATTTCACTAAAAGTAGGAAGCGAACTGACATAGTTGCAAGCCGAAGGGGCACCTAGAAGCCTGTCCTTGGAGGCAAATGAATGTAAGACGTCTGTCCTGGATCCATGTCTGTGATTGAGATTATACATTCATTTGCGCATTTGGATGCATTTCTATATGTTGCTGGCACACACGGATGACTGGCCCCAGGTCCCTCAAATCTGTGCCGTGGAGGCAAATGAATGTAAAAATTCTGTCTTGGATCGATATCCTGAAAATACAACCATTTGCGCAAATGACTGTATTTTTGTATCTTGCATACATATGTAATGTATTTTGGGATGTTGGGATTCTATTTCTGAAAATACATTAGATATGTTTGCCTCTTTACTAAATACAACCATTTGCGCAGATGAATGTATTTTCGAAGCCCGGGATTCTAATCCCCAAAATACATTCATTTGCCTGCTTCGGCCTATCGGTGTTACAACCATCTGCGCGGATGAATGTATTGTGGAGTCCCGGTGTCGGATTTCAGAAATACATTACTTTCCCAGGCCATGTTTCCCAATGTTCGGCTTTATGCTCTTATTCTCAAGGCTGGCAATTTCAGAATGACTGATACATTCATTTTCCTTCGTAGGTGCAGGAAGTGTGTCCCTCATGCATGACGATCCAGCCATCGCACAGGCTTGCATACGAATCACTTAATTAGGATGCCCAAAATGCTAATTAGGTGTATGTACTCACTGGCGGCACGGCTTGTCCGCCGATCCTGAGCTTTGCTCTGAACCAGCAGAACCGGATGCTTCCGTCTCCATCGTTGTACTGGGTCCCTCCCATCTTGCATCCTCTTGACCCATCCATTCACGCTCGTACTCGGCAGCGAGATCCGCCAATGTGTTGCCCAACTCCCTAGCAGACGCGAACTCCTTGGAACTCAGACAGCTTGTAAGGGAATAGAACAAACCGAACAGGATTGCTAGACTTCGAAGAAACAAACAGCAAGTCAAGGCTCTGATCTGTCCAGATAGTGGATCTTGTTCCAAATTTGTCGGAGCTTGTAGAGTCGGTGGCGGATGAAAAACTTCGCACAGCTTTTCGTGAACTTCGCCATGGCACACTGGTCTGATTGACAGACGCGCACACACACACTAAACAGAAACCTGAGGGACACAGGTCTGTCTTTCACTTGAGAATGAAACACCAATCGTGATCGAGGGTCGCTCTGTCTTGCAGAACACATGAGCACGAGTTTCTAAGTGCTATCGAGGCTCCCCATCTTCCAAGCCTCCAGAATCTTGTCGTAGCCTGGCCCGGAGCCGACCATCCTTTTCAAGCTCGGAGAGAGCCACTGCCACAAGCAGCACATTTCCATCGTCTCGCGCAGCATCTCATTGCTCATTTGCGCGTTTTTCTGCAGGGCAGCCCGAGCAAGAAACACAGATACAGGAGCGACTGCACACACGCGCATACACACACACAGACACACATGAAGCCATGTCTCACAACATCTCATGGGTATTGGCCCAGCGCCTGGCTCTTGACAGAAGACCCCGGAGGGGCCTTGCTCCGATGTGCAGCAACCACCCGGTTCAACCAGGTGATTGTGCAGGCATCCGTCACTTCCTCAGGTCTTCTCAAGTCAAACCCACAGCCCGAGCTCTGTGCTTCGATGTTTGAACCCCAATGACCAGACTGCTCAGACTGTCAGAATCCCTACAGCATGGTATTAAGTTCGTGATTGTTCGTGGATGGGAGCCAAGCTTCCAAGATTTCAGGCCACTTGCCGCCCTGGCCTTTCCCCAGGTTCGTGCCCGGCACATAGAAGTCACCCGCCAGATTCTCGAGAGTCAGCGCTGGCCGGTGCAAGACTTGCACTGAATACAGAGATGGAGCTGGAGAGAGATAGAGAGAGAGAGAGAGAGAGAAAAAAAATAAAGAGAGAGAGAGAGAGATGGGGACTGAGACTGCATGTGATAGATAACAACACATAGTCCATGAAGCTGAAAGCCACGCTGTAAGTCTACACATGCACACTAGTGCACTGCCTGCATTGTAGTGGCGGTACTCACCATACACCTGGGCCAAGATCTCCCGCATTTCCAACGGGCATCGCAGAACATTGTAAATAATCTTCTGCGTCTCCTGCTTGACTTTGTGGTCCTAGGTGCAAGAAGGAGAAATAGAAGCACATCGTCTGCAAGCAGCAGCATCTTTCAAATCAAGCAAGGGCTAGAAGATAAGACCACCTTGCGAAAGACACACACACACACACACACACACTCACACACACACACACACACCAACAACAAAAACCAAGAGAAGCACACAGACACACGCCCCAACACACACACACACACACACACACACTAACACACACACACACACACCCTCCCCCACCCAGCCACCCAGCCACCCATCCCCCACCGCTCCTTCTACATGAATAAAGCAACATACACAGAATAAACAAACACTCAGATCCCAATGAAATCAAATGTGATGTCCAAGGCACCCGGCCCACGGCCTTGTTGTACTCCGACACACACAGTCCAAGCACATCTCGCAGTGATTTCTGGCCCAGCACAGCACGCTTGATGCGCACAGCTTCCGCAAAAGCACTTGCAAGATCGAGGGCTGAGGCACTCTGCTTCTCCGAGGTCCTCTGGCACAGAGCCAGAGACTCGAAGAGATACATCTCCGGCCGTTCATGGTATGTGAAATTGCCCTTCAAGTACTTGCAAGATGCAAGGCAGTTTGCGAAGTCTGCATCTCCAGAGATTTCATCTGCAGTGATACCCTGAGCTTTGCTTTGTTGCAGGTACACACTGAGACTAAGAACAAGACACAACAACGCATTAACAAGTTCCCAGGTCCAGCCCACAGAGACATACTTAACAGATACATATCACAATGAGCCATGTCACCATATGGTGTATCATTGCGAAAATCGTCTGCACACACAAGCTCTTCGTGAAGCCGTCCACCAGCTTCACTTGGAAGATGGGGACATTCTCAATCGCAGGCTGTCCTCAGGTCGTCGTCATAACTATGACAAGAATGGTTTAAAGCATCCTTTTGAATGGGTCTACAGCATTAAAGACATCACTGCAGAATGTCCTGGTGGCACATCAGCATCCGCAGGAAACCGCACCTCGAGCGGCTCTCGGAAAGCCTGGAAGCCACGGTGCAGGATCGATGAAAAGTGGATGCGCAATGTGCACATATCTGGGAATTTCCCGTGCTCACCTTGGGCGCACCACAACATGCAAGAGCAAGCACAATCATGAGGTGCCCTGCCATGCCACACCATAACATCATGTCCTCATCTACCGGCCTTTCTGCTGACTGTGTCTAATCTTCAGACAGGACACCATACTTGCATCTTCGGGAGTAGTCGATCTGCCAAGGATTCATCCAGAAGTCGTTGACATTGTCCTTGGGAATATAATTGATTGCACGGTGGGGCTCGACTTTCGAAGCCAC